ATTTTGCATTGTACCCCATACAGGTAGTGCCTCCAGATTTTTAGTGCGAAAACGATAGCGGCTAGGTCGAGGTCATGGGTGGGGTAATTTTCTTCATGGGTTTTGAGTTGCCTGGATGCGTATGCTATTACCTTCCCTTTTTGCATCAGCACGCATCCCAACCCTTTCTTGGATGCATCGCTGTAGACCTCGAATTCTTCCGTTTCGGAGGGGATGGCTAGCACGGGCATCGTGGTTAGCTTGTCCTTTAATTCTTGGAAGGCTGAGATGCAGTCGTTGTCCCATCGGAAGGGGGTTTCCTTTTTCATGAGCTTAATGAGGGGTTGGGCTATCTTGGTGAAGTCGGGTACAAACCTCCTGTAGTAACCAGCCAGGCCTAAGAAGCTTCGGACCTCCGAGAGTGAGCTTGGCGTGGTCCATTCTTTAACGGCGCGAATCTTAGCGGGGTCCACCCTGATCCCTTCTTTGGTTATTACGTGGCCCAAGAAGGCTACGCTGTCTTGCCAGAATTCGCACTTGGAGAATTTAGCATAAAGTTGGTTTTCTCTGAGGGTTTGTAGTGATATACGAAGGTGCTTCTCATGCTCTTCTTTATTTCGGGAGTAGACTAGGATGTCGTCAATGAACACAATGACGAAGTCATCCAGGTGAGGTCGGAATACTCGATTCATGAGGTCCATGAATATGGCGGGTGCATTAGTGAGGCCGAAGGGCATTACGGTAAACTCGTAGTGGCCGTAACGTGTCCGGAAGGCCGTTTTCTGGATGTCCGGTTTGGCCACTTGGATTTGATGATATCCGGATCTTAGGTCGATCTTCGAGAATACCCCTGCCCCTTAAGTTGGTCGAGTAAGTCATCTATCCGGGGAAGGGGGTACCTATTCTTTATTGTAACTTGGTTGAGTTCCCTGTAGTCGATGCATAGGCGCATGCTCCCATCCTTTTTCTTAACGAATAGTACCGGTGCTCCCCATGGGGAGGTGCTGGGTCGGATATAACCCTTATCTAGTAGTTCCTGGAGTTGCGTTTTCAGTTCTTTCATTTCCTTTGGTGCTAGTCTGTAGGGTGGTTTAGAGATCGGGCGGCGCCCGGTGTGAGGTCTATGGTGAACTCGACCTCTCTGGCCGGGGGTGCCCCGGGAATTTCGTCCGGAAAGACGTCGGTGAACTCGTTTACCACTGGGATGTCTCGTGGTTCGAGTATTTTGGCGTTGAGGTCTTCGATTGAGCATAAGAAGGCCTCGTTTCCTTGGCCCAGATACTTCTTAATTTTCATCATGTTTACAAGCTTGATTCCCGGATCCTGGCGGATACTGCGGTATGACACCCTCTTTCCGTTTGGTCCTCGTAGGACCACTTTCTGCTCTCCGCACAAGATTTGCGCTTGGAATTTCCCTAGCCAGTCCATGCCCAAGATTACTTGCATCCCATCCAGTTGGAACTGGATTAGGTTGCTGGGAAATTCCACCCCTTGAATGGTGATTATCACATGTTCGTACATGCGATCACATTTTATGATCTCGCCTGAGGCCACCTTGACTTGGAGCCGGACCTTGGTGCTGGCGTTAAGGTTGAGCTGGGCGGCGAATTCGGTTGCTATAAATGAGTTGGTAGCCCCCGAGTCAAATAGTATGGTGGCTGGGGTGGCGTGCACTAGGAAAGTTCCGGAGACTATGTTGCTATCTCCGACCCTGGCCTTGCTTAGGGTGAGGATCCTCCCCCGGGCAGTCGGCGTGATGGCCCGGCCCAGTGGGGTGGTTTTGGGGTTTTTAGGCTCTTTGGTGGGAATTGGGCGACTTCTTTCGGGCTTCCTTTTATACCCCAGTTGTGTCCCTTGGGGCGGGTTCGTTACCTGTTGTAGTTGACACGCCTTGGCGTAGGCTTCTCCGAGGGTCTTTGGTTCTTGGGCGGCCAAGGCCCTCTGGTGTTCGGGGTTAAGGCCTGCTAAGAATCTCCTGACTTTGATCCCCTCGGTGGATACTAGCTCGGGGGTGAGGCGAGCCAGTTGGCAGAACCGTTGGTAGTATTCTGAGACTGGGGCTGCCCCTTGTCTTAGGTGGAGGAATTCCTCGCGTGTGGCGGCTTTCAGGTGGTTGGGGTAGAACCGTTCTCGTAACCGTGTTTTTAGGCCTTCCTAGTCGAATCTGGGGTCGTGTTCGTACGTAGGTCCGTCACGGGCCCACCAGATGTCGGCCTCGTGTCTGAAGTAGAAGGAGGCTATCCCGACTTGGCGGTGTTCGGGGCATTGGGTTGCCCTGAATACCCTGTCGAAGGTCTCAATCCATTCCTCGAGGGTCGTGGGGTCTTCGTCTTCCGAGAAGGTGGGCGGTTGGTGTGCCGAGACTTGGTGGTGGATTTCCAAGTTCTCGTTCGTTGGTAGGGGCTGGGGAATGACAGTGCTTAGTGCCTGGGCGATTTGGGCCAGGCGTTGTAGATTCTGAGTCAGGAGTTCCTGAGTAGGGCGTCTCGGTGTTCCTGTCTGTTTCTTCTTGGGTGCCATCCTGGTGGTTAAAGGTTGATATTATTTTGTGTTTTCACCTTGATGTAATAAGCGGAGAAGAGTTTCTTAATATTAGAGAGGGGTGAAGTGAGGGAAGGTGATGTGTAGGTTTCTCAATCTCACTGCGCGTCCTAAGACTCCTGAGGCCTATGTTCCTAAGCATCTAGAGTTCAAGCCTAATGTCCTAAAGTCCGGTCCTACGAGTGTTTCCCTAGGGTCAAACTTAGGCTCTGATACCAACTGTAACACCCCAGATTTTCAAGACTTTTTAAAACTTATAATAAAGGTAGAATCTCATTAAATCCCAAGAAATAAATACAAGCGTACGGGGTGTTATGCCACACCTGGGCTAGAGAACCCAAGTGCACAGGCTAACTAACTAATATCCTCAAAGCGTAATTATGTCAACGTGGCACGCAGGCCAAAAGGGAAAACTATCTACTTCTATACTCCAAGTTCTAGCGCGCTCCAGTGACTTAATCTTCTGTGCCTGAAAGCCAAATATATCTGTTCAGCGAGAGATGCTGGTAACCCACTCCAACGCGTTGAAATACAATACATATAGAGGTATATATAGATATACGAAAACCATTTTGAGCATGAAGATATATCCTACGAACTCTAGCTTTAAAACCGGGAATGACTCGACAGATAAGGCCAGACACAAGCACAATTATAACGAGCATATGCAGTTCACAACAGATAAGGCAGATAAGGTAAAGCATAAACAATGATCATAACCCAACATGAACAATCCCCAATATAAATCCCATAGTCACATCCCCCAAGACACTCGTAATCACAACTCGTTCATGTCACAACACATAACACACTTTGTTGGCGCCACAGGACCAATCGCATGCCCATACATGAGGGTCAGCGCATATAGCTCTGACACGGCCCCGCAGCACCCTGCCCCGTATCGCAACACGGAGGGGTCGATCGCAACCGACCGATGAACCGCAGCTCATCATAGTGTTTGATCGCAACCAAACAGTGGACCGCAGCCCAAGAGAATGTCATCTGACCGCAGCCAGGAAAAAGGACGAACCGCAGCTCGTATAGAAACGTTTGATCGCAACCAAACGGTGGACCGCAGCCCAAGAGTATCAATCTGACCGCAGCCAGCTTCTGAACCGCAGCTCAGGATAACCAATCCGATCGCAACCGAATTGGGGTAACACACACATAACACATAGCAAGCACATGCAACCCACATTACACATTAGGAAGGGGGAGAAAACGTATAACAAAACCTATGTGTGATCCATCACATACTAAGAATAGTCCTAAGGGGTTCATACTCCTTCCACCTAGGTCAACGGGATACCAATTCAACTAGCATGCAATACAATAGACTCATAAACCTACGAACGGTACCCGAAACATCAAACTAGACATAGGCACGATAAACGGAGTCCGTTGGGACACCACGGGGAACGGGGGAACATCAAACGGGGAAGCCGGGATCCCGGGTGGGATGAATTTCCAGCGGGTCGCCGGCGGGCAGCTGCCCGCCCGCCGGCCACCCGCTGCCGGGCGGTGTTTCACGGCCGTGGGTAGGTGGCGGGTCCCCTACCCCCCACCTACCCCCCACTGATTCTTTTCACACACTTTACGCCCCGGGAACCGTTGTGGAACCCGAAACCATGCTTGGACACTTTACAACGCAATTAATGACAACACGTAGACAATTAACGAATCAAATACAAGAAACGAACGGCACATAACCTATCATGCTTTTCTAAATATAATCAACACCCAAACATGCGATTTCCCCACCCGATAATCCAAGAATAAGATCATACGATACAACCTAGGGTTCTAATCACTTTTATATCAACAAGAATATGGTTCGTCTTCTAATTGCAAGGTTCGATAAGAATAACACCTAAACATCAAGAGCATCACGTAATTATCAAGAACAACACATAATCATCAAGAACTCTATATAATCATCAAGAATTCTATAATCATCAAGAATCTCCCAATATCAAGATCATCAAGATCCCTCATGGGATCATCACATCAAACATCAATAATAATCATCATATCTCGCCAATACACAATAATATGGGGGAAACCCTAAGGGGGAATCATAGCTATGAAAATAGGTTTTGTTGAGACATGGGTTACCTCTTAGCCTTAATTAATTCCTTGGCTATGAAGGATCTTTCTTTAAGCTTCCTTGCTTTCTTGATTTCTCCTAAGGGGATTCTTGGAGCTCTTTTGGGGTGGTGGGGCGTTATTCTTGTGGGAGGAGTTCTAGGTGCTTCCTAAGTTCCCTATTTATAGATCTAGGGATCTTATTTAGGGTCTAATCCTATTGGGATTAGGGGTTGGGTTTATATAGGAGGGCCCATGGGCTACGGTGGGCCTTTTTCCCTAATTAATCATTATAATTTATTCTTTCTCTTGGGCTATTAATTAATTAATTAATTGGTTTTAGGACTCGTAACACGGGGTGTTACATCTATGGCACCCAAGCCCCTACATCTCAGGTTCCATCTGTTGAGGCTACTGCTCATCCTAATTCCACCACGTTCAAAATACGAGAGGTCACTAATCTCCTTGGTGGTTCATCTGCTCATGTGTCTGATTGTAGTCACTCTGTGTCTCCTGTCCACTCCCCATCCAAAGAGACAAGAAGGTCAAAAAGAAAGAATGTTCCTGTGAAGGTTGTGGTTGAATCTGGTGAGGACACTACTGATATAGATCAACCAGAGAAAAAAAGGAAGTCTAGTGAGCCTGCAAAACCTGAGATCAATCTTCCTGTTCAACAAGTGTTTAAGACTCTACGGTCCTCTATTAAACAAAAAAGCCTTACGGCTGTTCAACCTGATGCTGTACCTACATCATCTGCTAGAAAGGGTAAACCATCCACACGTTCCAGAGGTCGAAGCATAACTTCTGAAGTTCAACCTGTTGAAGGGTCTGACACATCTGTTTACAAGCCTCAGTTTGTTTCTCCAGCTGCTCAGGGTAAATGGTCCACTATGGTCAGACGAGATCTTATTGTTCAACGATTTGTTAGAGGTGACCACGATTCCGGTTCGAACCGGAACCGTGACTGTACAAATCGGAACCGAATCAGAACCATCCGTACGGTTTCGGTTCCGATTCTTAACCGAAACCTATAAGGTTCCGGTTAAGGTTTGTATAATCTTGGAACCGGAACCGCCGGTTCCGGTTCCAAACCGTAAAAAAAATAATAATAATAATAATTAAGTGCCTAACTCGGCAGTCTACTGCTGCCAAAGTTGGCAGTAGCACGTTAGCCAAAGGCCAGCTGGCTAGGCTGGCCTTTGGGCTTTGCGCCATGTGAGCTAAGTAGCTCACATGGGATGACGTGAGGTGAGCTACTGAGCTCACCTCACGTCCTCACCTTTGTGTCTTATCAAGTCTTGATAAGAAACAAAGGTGACTCTATGAGTGAGAGTCATAATTGAGTAAGACTCTCACTCAATTAAAAAAATATTTATATAATCAAGATTTCACGGTTAGAACCGGCGGTTCCAACCGGAACCGCCGGTCTTGATAAGACACAATGGTGACTCTATGAGTGAGAGTCTTAATTGAGTAAGACTCTCACACAATTAAAATAATATTTATATAATCAAGATTTCACGGTTAGAACCGGCAGTTCCAACCGGAACCGCCGGTTCAAGAATCGGAACCTTAATATAAGGTTCCGGTTCCGGTTTGGCCAAATACGGAATCGGAACCGCCGGTTTCGAACCAAAACCAGAACCGTGGTCACCTCTACGATTTGTTGATGAGAATCAGCTGAATTCTGTATGTGATATTCTACCACTGCTGAATGAAGTAGGGCTGCTGAAGATTGTCACAGCCATCTGTCCATACTCAAAGCTCCTCACGTATGAATACTACTCTAATCTCAATAACGAGATTGACATCTTAACCGGGCCACGACCAATGCAGATTTTCATTAGAGGGAAGTGGTACATCTTTGGGCCTGACATGATCAACCAATACTATGGACTGACTGTTGTGCAAGAAGAGGCAATTACAGACTGGAACTTGGTGGCCAAGACTCTAACGGGTGGACAGATTGACACTTGGCCTACGGGTGACAAGGATTATCTGCAGAGCTCTCAACTCACATCCAGATATGTTATTCTGCATCGTCTGGCTCTTCATAACTGGCTCCCATCAGCTCACTTCCACACGGTTGGTAAGCACCTGGCTGGTTTCTTGTACCGAATTGGAACAAAGATGCCGATTGATCTAGGAAACTGGATTTACAACCACATCCTCACCATGATCCATCCACGAGAGCAGAAGGTAAGGCTACCCTTTCCGAATCTGATTTATGGCATTCTTACAACTCAGGGTCTTGAGCCTATGCCGAGTGAAGTGATAAGTCCAACTCTGTTCTATACTGTTGATCGACGTCTTTTGACTGGAGATCACATTCGAGATGTTATACCGGTGACTGCCCCCTCCAATTCTGAAGCTGATACTGTGGCTGATGACTCGCCCCATGCCAAGGATCTTCATCTCTCCATTCAGTTAAAGGCACGGGTCTTTGAGCTTGAGACAGTTCACGGTATAATTGCTAAACAACTGACTAGGGCCGGTACTGACCTAGCAACCGTTCTTCTTCGTTTAAGCCTATCTGAATCTGCTGTTGCTACTGAACCTGCGAAGACCGACAGTGACACTCCCTCCAATGCTTGACCTTTGGCTCTCATTGGCAAAAAGGGGGAGTAGTATGAACTTAGGGGGAGTTATTTTGAGTATCTTCTGGCCCTGGCTGGGCGTTGTTTTTTATGGCACCTCTTCTTATTTGAAGAATGTTCTTAGACTGTGTTTTAATCCAGCATGATATGTATGCTGTGTTTTGTTTTTGTTCTGCTATGTAATCAGATCAGACTCATGGGTTGTTTCTTTATGATAACCTATCTTAGTTCTTTATGTTTATGTCTATCTATATAGTCGAGTTGTTTTGCCAAATAATAGCCAAAGGGGGAGTTTGTTAGTGTTTTTAATTGTTCAAAAACCCCATCTTATAATTGGCAAAATTATTATGGCATACTAAGATAGGTTTAGCTTAGTGTCCGTTCAGTTCTACAGAAGACTGATCAATTAGAAGCAACAACAGAAGGACTGACACTGAAGATCTGATTTAAGAAGGTGTTTACTTAAAAGCTATACGCGGTTTACAGAAGACAGATTTGGAAGGAAGATCAGCGTATCTGCTTTGGAAAGGTATGGACCGAATCTTTAAGATTACATTCTTCAAATATTGTCCTACCATCTACAATCAAAGACATCTATGGAAGGAGTGTTATATCGACGGATCTATAAGTACCATCTTTCTAAGAGAATTAGGGTTACGACTTGAGAGAGAAGAAACACTCCACATCAGTTTTATGAGATCAGATCTTCAATTACCTTGCCTCTTCTCAATACAACATGTTCATGGTGATTAAGATGACGAACTTGAGAAGAATCACTGCTGCTTAAACGAAAGGACACTGTGATCACACTGTTGTGGGAACAACTGTAAAGAGCGTCATTGAAGTAGACTACATCAGAGTGGGCTCTCCAAGTGAAGGAATTTCATTGGACTTCTGTATGCATGGCTCTCCACCTTCAACAATCCACTAAACCTGTGTAGACTGGGTATGTACCTTGTGTGGGGCACTTGGGTAAGATTATTGTATATCTACCTTTGTACATTGGTTTATGGTTTAGTGGATTGGACGCCTATGTGATCGTCCCCCAGACGTAGATACACACTGTATCGAACTGGGTAAACATTCTATGTCGTTGGCTTTATGCTGTTATCTTTTCTTTAATCTTCTCTATGATTTGTTATTACTGACTGACTTCATCGCTGAATCAGTCAGTCCATTTCGTCAGTCGATTAATCCAGTTAATCTATTTTAAAAGAGAAAATGCAAAATTACAATTAGCATTCTTACAGAACTCCATATGGATGATCATTAGAACAAGTAAATTAAATCTGATCCAATGCTTGAAGAAATAAGCAAAAGTGCTGTGCTATTTCTACTAGGCAAAATACTCTCATTGATAATTAAGGTTAAGATTCTTTGCTCCTTGGTCATGTAGTACTTCTCAGGCCTAGTATCCAAAGATATTCTATTTGTCCTACCCAACATGTACTGCAAATAGTGCTGATATCGTAAAGTTTTAGTTTCAGTTTCAATCCAGTTCTCCCTATCATATTTTATAACTCCCACTAAAGGTAATCGAAACAATTTAGCAAGTTTTGGAGGGTTCAAGTAAATCTTAACATTCTTGACAACGGAGTTGATCACCGTAACTCCCTTAGAGTGCTTAAATTCCACATTAGAATATAATTCTTTTACAAGCTCAGGATACACAACACTCTCAACAGACAGAAATCTTTCTAGCAATCCTTGGTGACCCAACATATCAACAATTTTAGGTGAAAAATGTGTAGGATCGAGGGATTTACCTTCAATAACTGAGTATTTGGTGTTGTCCCTGCTTCCTTCCCCAACTTGCTTCTTCACTTTCGGCGTTATGGCTACTGGCGGTGAAACGGTGGAAATTTGGTAGAGGCAGTAGATAGTTCGGCGTTACCAAGGTGGAGTCGGCGAAGATAGTGATCGGCAGCGAGGTGGGCAGCTCGCGGGGGAGGTTGGCGGTGCTGCGACGGGAGCGAACAATAGTCTTCTTTGCGATCGGCGTTGCAGAGCAAAAGGGGGGGGGGGGGGGGGCGTTGCAGGTTGACTGCGTACGTTTGAGGAGAGATGTAGGGTTTGGTCTCTTAAATTGGGGGAGAAAACGTGTGAAGTTCCAAAATTGCCCTTACTAGGGTGTGAAGTGTCGGGTTTGATGCTTCCACGAGATGACACTAGCAAAGCATACGGGGGTGATTGGCGATCTCCTTCAACCCACCAATAGGGTCCAACCGACTTCGCTACAGACTTGGCGGTAGGCTAGGACGGGGGCGTTGTTTCCATGTGGGGGTGCCATGTCGCCAATGTATAGTACTTAATAAAAATCCTTTCTTTGCTTATTAGTTCAAGATTTTTCTTTTGGTGAAGTGGATAAAGTCTTGATCTACTTGAGTGAAGGTATGGGTTTGATTCTCCTTAGGTACAAATCTGACTTTTCCCCCTTACTAAAACTTTAACCCTTTCTAATCATCCTTTTCCTACCCTTCACTTTCCTTGGTCTTTCCCAATCACATTTTATCATTTTAGATCAAGTAGGGCTCTTCTTAAGGTATTATCTACGATTTAATTTTTCCTCCCTTTCAAAATTTATCCTTGGGTTCAGCTAGGCACTTACTCCAGTGCTAACAAACGCACTCCCACAAGACTTCCTCTCTCTATTATCTTTGCCATGCAATTCTACCTTGGTACTTGGCAGTAATTCCAACTTACTAACAAGACCAGGAGATATATAAGAATTGGAAGCTCCTGAATCAATAAGCACAAAACCAAGTAGAGATTATACTAGGAAGGTACCTGTGGCAATATCACTGGCCTCGGCTTGAGTCCTACTCATGACATAGATCTTTCCTTGCTGGGGTCCACTATTGACATTAGGAATCTTGCCATTACCTCCATTACTTCCATTTCCAGTTCTAAATTAAACTGATTTCCTGACTGCAGTCTTGCATTCCCATTCTAACTCGAATTTGAAGAAGTTCCACCCTTGGCAAGGCACTCAAATGATCGGTACCCTTTCTTCCCGTAGTTGAAACACTCCACTAGCTTCCCTTGACAGTCAACTCCAGTGGGATTATTCTCACATTTCTTGTAGTGATAAACCCTCTCACTAGCTCTATTACCTCCCATGGTTCCCTGCCTCTGAACCGGGTGTCTCGTCCTACTACCATCCTGGTTACATCTTTGAAAGTTCCTTGCTGGCTCAGTGTAAGCTACCCTTGGCCTCCTATTTGCTGGTCCATTGTTTCCTTTAGTCTTTCTCTTGTGTCTATCTATCACACCCTTCTAAATCTACTGCACACGAAAATTATCGGTGGCACTATTATAAGCCTCACTAAGAGTCCAGAACTTTAACAAAACAAGGGCATTCTGCGTCTCGAAGTTTAAACCAGTGACGATCTTATTGATCCTACTAGCTTTGCCAGGCACCAAAACGAGGGCAAATCAGGCAAGCTCCAAGAAATTCTTGTGATACTCTTGTCTCAAATGCAGAAATTCCTCGTACTTTGCTGCCTTCACGTGCCCCGGTTACAAACGGTCACGCAATTCTGTCCTTAAAAGTAGCCCATCCAAAGTCAGGCTCTTGACGGAATACTAGTCCTTCATTGACCCACCAGATATTGGCCTCCTGCTATAGATAGAAGATTGATATGTCGACATGACACTCTTCTGGGAAGTTCAAGACTTCAAAGATCTTGTCAAAAGCTCTTATCCAGTTTTCCAACAACGACGGGTCTTCTTGTCCTGAGAAAATAGGCGGGTGGCATCTGGCCGCTTGCCAGGCTATATCTTTGTTCCCTCTGGTCTTGTTGTTGAGCAATGCATTTCATAAGGCTTGAGTTAGCTAAGTCAACTGTTGAAGTTTCAACGCTAGCTGCTCAATAGTCAGAGTCTCGGGAGTCTCGACGCGTCTCCTCGGTGGTGCCATCAAGAACTACTATAGAATCAACATTCTATTACTAAAGCAATCCTTAACTTCAGTCTTAACCTTAGAGTAAGCAAAAGAGTTACTCATCCACACACAACTAGAACTTACCAAGGTCCACACCCGTAGGGTGAAACAATCACAAGCACAACTAGAAGCAACAAGCAAACAAACACACAACCTCACTGAGGTTCCTAGAAATCTCACAAATCCTAGGGTTCCAACTTAGACTTCCCTATTCAAGAGGTCCCAACTTAAACATCTCGATTAGCCTAAACTCTTAAAGTCAATTCATAATATCTTAGGATTCCAAACCTAAGGCCCTATCATAGGCTCAACCTAGGCTCTGATACCAACTGTAACACCCCCAAATTTCTAACAAGGGAATATAATATAAGGAATAAAGGGAAATGAAGTGATAAATTTCAACTGTTTAAATTATTCGAAAATGTGGAAGTTGAAAACCAAACTAGTCAGGAGTGTTATGCCATACTTAGGTAAATACTATAACCCAAATATTAAGGCGATTAACTAAGTTCACAATCCAAAACTAGCATAAAATAAAACATTATTACATCAAGTTCAAAACCATAAGGTCCAAAACACAAGTCAACCAAAGGAGTCATCTGAAACTATCTAAGGTAAAGAGTAGGGTTACATCACAAACTAAACTACGCTCTCTTGATTACCTCTACTCCAAACTTGTAAACATAGTTTAAACATTAGAAAATAATGCTAAGTAAATCCCCACTCCATCATGTAAAGTTTTGCAACTGATATATATATATATATATATATATATATATATATATATATATATATATATATATATATATATATGTATATGTATATATATATGTATATGTATATATATATGTATATGTATATATATATATATATGTATATATATATATATATATACATATATATATATATATATATATATATATATATATATATATATCCTTAGGTGCAGCAATGCTGCGTCACCAATAGTTGAACAAATATACACCATCAGCGTTAGAAAAATGCACCACAAAAATACACATAAATTAGGTACGCATCACAAAAAACACACCATT